AAGCAAATCAATTACCCAAATATGTAAATATTATATTATATTAATTTCTTTTCTAATTTACTGTATCTGTATTACTGATATACATTTTGACACGCGTTAAAAATATTGTGACCAATATTAATTTCTTATTCATTTGTAGAAAAATTCACATACAAGCGAATCATATACTATTCCCTAAAGCGAACAATTGGTGCGGAACTTATATCATGTCATCATTATTACCAACAATAGCAAATCATTAACTGGTCCCAAAATATTAATGCAGGATTGATGCAAATAAAACATCCAAATGAGACACCCATAAATATTAATCATTTCAACCGCTAATAGTAAATACATTTAAATTATTCATCTAGATTTCGGGATAAACTGGCAAAATCTGGTCTTTAAATAGCGGCCATATTTACGTTGACGGCTTGTCGACTCTAGTGCATGACAAACTAACAGACTTCAATAAATTGCGAGGGCGCTATAGTGAAATTTCTAGAAATACTATACGATTGTACACGACAGTAGCAACTCTCCTCTCTGCAAACAAATCGTACACTTACAATGATGCCAACATGTCTCCATAATAATTGTTCTTGAAATTCAAGCAAATTCACAAAAGATAAACATAACAATAAAGGTAATAATTGTACTTAACGTTATTCATAGTCCCATTTAGCCTTCACCAACAGCAAGGAACAGTACAAGCTTGTGGATTGGTCTGTCCACTATCGAACTGGCAGTAGTATGCTGTTCCTTGAGTACTAAACCATCTTTCCCAGGATATACAGCTGTCACTCTGCCAATGCGTCATAGTACACTATTATCTTCCTTGATAATGACGATGTTACTAAATTTCATCGGATTCATACAGCTAGCTGAAAGTGATTGGTCTTGAATATACAATGTTCTGCACCTCGGCCATAAATGTGCTAAAGATCTCATCATCCGGCTGTAGACCTGCCTGATTGATGAGGGGTTCACAATCACACTTTTGCCCTAGCAAGAAATCGACCATTTTCTTCTGATCAATTTCTTTCAGGCCCTTATTCATTTCATTGTGTGTTCCAACAATGATAGTGCCACAATCTGCTCTCAGCTGCATAATAGGTGCTAAAAATTCAGCGTTAATGTATTGTAAGAATCGGTATCTAGAGAGTTTACAGTCTCAAGGTGAATCGCCTTAGATGCCATGCACACACAAACTTCACTATATATTTTCAACTGGTTCCTTCTCCCCTAAACTGCTGATGATTTAATACCCATGCTGTCTGGTGTGGTTACATCCTCTTCACATGTGTATCATTTGTTCATGGAAGTGTCACACTATTAGTGTTGTTATGTGGATCTTCTTGGGTAGGATAACTCGATGTTCAATTTCAAAAGGTTGGCAGGATTTTTGTACTCTCTTTCCAACCCATAGCAATTTCTGATTATCTTATATTTGTTTCAGCTTAGATATAGTACTTGACTTTCTGAACTGTATATTTTGTGCCTTTAGTTGTTTACTAGATTTTACTAGGTTATCTACTAGCTTCGATTCCCTCAGTATATGAAACGCTCTACTTTGGTCTTCTCATATTACGGCTTTTTCACCATCTGCAAGATCCTGTACAGTCAAGGGTGTATTAGTTTCTTGCATAACATATGTGAGACTTACCTTATTATTCAAGGTCTTGGTGGCCCTCAATATTTTTGCTTTAAGACATAGACAAATAGTTGCTGCACGCTGCACGTTTAGATGCGTCTCATGATATGTGCTGATAAAATTAGTACTAATCAATTGATCATTTGAACAGGCTGTGAGTGAATTAGTCTTCAATACTGTTGTGGTTATCTTAATTTCTCTCCTCATCTCTTCTTATGTCACTGCTACATTCACATCAAAATTCTTTTGCAGATAGGGGCTTCCAGAAAATCTGGTCCAGTTAACCAGTTAGAATCTTTGATAAGTTGCTTAGCTGTTATCCCCCTGCTAGCGTCATCACTCGGATTTGAATTTGGAGAAGTCAGCATACGTATCTGCTGAACCCTGTTGGCAGCATAGGTGTTAAACGTTTGGATTCATTATTTATGCATCTAAGAAACACATTTTTAAATATTCAAGTGGGTAGTATAAGACACCAAACAGATGTTGGCTCACAAATTTAACCTTTCAAACACTGAGGGGGGAGCTTTGAGTCGATCAGTGACCTGAAAAAGGACCCCCCCCCCCATGATAAAAACTGTTTCCACTGAAGATTACTAATTTGTCTTAAGTTCAACAACTGTTTCATAGCATCAGTCACTTCATTTGCAAGTGGGGTTACAACACTGCTCACCATGGCCCTGGCTTCTTTGTTTTCTACTCTTACCTTTGCTTCCATTTTTGGTGACAAAATCAATGCACAGTTCTGATCGTGTACTGAAGAAACATGGCTCTATTTATTGTGAGTGTAGTTCATCCATCTGTGGTTGTGAATTTAAACATTTGTACAGATCTCCATTTCTATTGGCTGTCGGTATGTCACTTAATTGCTGACTTCCTTCATCAGATCTGTCTACATTATATATCACTTCTTGCTGTGCCTGATTTTCAGCAAGTTTCTTATATGACTACAATTCTCTTCAATAATCCTCGTATGTTCTAGCTCCTTTCTTTCTAGCTGTTTTCTTACAAATCTTACAAATCGCAGATGTAACACAAGGATATCACCAAAACAATGTCCCTGATAGCTTCTTTACAGTGGAAAAGCATACACCTTTCTAGTTATGTGTTTCTAGATATTGCAGGTCATGCTAATAGTGAATGAAGCTAAAATATAAATAAAATTATAATACCAATTTTATTAATGTATACGAGTGAGATGCCGTGACTCTTCCCAGTCCGTTTTACTACATTAAGCCATACTTATTTTACACCCTAACTATTAGAGAGACCTCACCTTTTATTTCGATGAATACCAGTATGTAAATGTGGATTAGAAAGCTTCTATACCACCTTTGGTGGCCAGGTGTTTCAGTTCAAACGTTTCGAAAAATTCTGAACTGGAAATTCTGCCTTCAGGTACCAGGCCATTGCCACGATGCTTTGTGGTTTGAAAAAATAAATGTCAATTATCCAATCCTCAATTTCGCAAGGTGTATTTCCATCTCGATTTTGCCATGCAACGTTGTGCAAGACTGGACCTCCCCTTCAGAGATAACGCTTTTGTCGCACACGACTTATGTACCACCGTGTCATTGAGAATGTTCTAGAACCGTACTGTGTCTGGGTAGAATATTCTAGATTTTGTTTAGAAACTGGTTGAATAGGTAATAGAACACTGTAGGAGGCAATAGAAGGTAATGGAACATTCTAGAAATTGGTAGTAAGTTCCAGACTCATTATGTATGCTGATATAATGGTCTATTTATAGACAGTGTTGGTATATATAGGGGAGTTGTTCAGCACTGAGATCAGATCGGAGATCTCGTTGAATTGTATTGGAGTTTAAGTATCTAGTTATTGGAGTAGTGGAGTTTTACCGCGTTATTGTACTTGATGTTTGCGGAGTATAATAATACCAGTACCAGTTGAAACCTCATCTGTTGGCTCCGTGTTCGTATTTTATCATCGCCGCCAGGGAAGTCTTCCTGTTACTGTTGCCATTTTGGTATTTGAACCATCACACCTGTACTGTTGCGTGTGACAGCTTTGTTGTTCATACGTGGATAAATAAAATTAGGTCAACTAAATCATTACAGTTGGGTTTTCGCCTTGGTTAATCTGATCAAATTTCAGATAGCTAAAAGGTGTAGGAACAACCATAAAATTGTATTATCGGTGTAGTTATGTTTGTTAGAGACATGCCCACTTAACACCCATCATTACCATTGTACACTTGGTAGTATACGATATAGTAGTATATAATATCTTGCAAACAATACATGTATGCATATTACGAGGTCACATGACACCACACTCTATCACTCTTCTGTCTATTCAACATGCTGCATCATCGGGCTCTCCTTTCCATAATGCATTGTAAAATCACAAACAATTCTTAACAATTTGGAAACTAAGTCAAATTGTGAAAGGAAGCTGTTTAACAGTAACTTACAACGTATGATTGATAGTTGTACCAGATGTGACTTACATTTTATAAAAACATGATCAAAATATTGAACACATCTAACTCTGTATATTGAGTATTTTTTAAATCATAGATAATAGAAACTTGAATATAAGCGCCATTCAAAACAACGTGTCGCAACAAGGCGGGAGCCTTGTGTGATGTAATTGGAAAATTGGCCTGTCCATTGCTGAAAAAAGGACATAAGGGTTTTACATTACGAGAAATTTGGTCAGATAAGCATCGTCAGAAATTAAACTTTTAGAATATGAAACACAAATGTGAACACCCCTGCCTATATTTTATCAAACTGAGGACGGACCTGGTATACTTATATACTACAAAAACAAGGCATTAGAAGGGAAATGGAAGGGAATAGATCATCCAAGTATTTTGAATAATATTCTTTGATGGCATAAACTATTGTCTACAGTAAAAACTATCAACAATAAATACAAATCACACATTATTTTATGGAAAAAATGTAATACAGAAGACATTATCTGAATGGGCAAAATGTATGATAGAGTATGTATCATGAATAAATAGTTTTTTGGGACGAAGTTGTCTAATAATGCATATATGTTGACATTGATAAATGAACTAAGCAAAAATAAAATATAAATTACAATATAGCATCAACTACAAATACAAGTAAATAAAATATATTGCCAGATCTTACTATATTACTTTGTTTGCAATAGATCATATATCCTATGGTATACGTTTAAATAACATTAATGGTTGTAACACAACACCAACCACCAAATAGAAGTGTGTGTAGACATTATTCATTTAAAAGTTCCAAATATAATGTTTTGCAAAATATGATGAGTTCCAGAATGAAAAATCACCCACCATATCAATTATCTAATGAGTTATTACAATCAATACAAGCACTGATAAACTAAGCTTTATTTATGGTTGCCACCAAGCAGCAGCCGTAATTCGACTGTTACGAAACTCGGTGACAAGTTTCTTTATGTCATTCTTTTCTTTTAGTTGGCCTCTTTGCAGATGTTCACCAGTCAATGGGTCTTCCTTTTTTCTTGAAAGGCGTGATTCCAGTGCATGACGCTCATAAACTTTGCCACTAGGTGTTCCCACGGGGTCGACAAACAGCTCCCCAGTAAGTGGACAGATTAGTTCTGGTGGTGGAGGTTCGGAGTCAGCAGGGGCATTGCCGAGCAATTCCTGTGTAAATGAATCATTAGTATATAAGTTTTGTAATACAACGTAAATAAATCTAATCTGTAAATAACATAATATCATAAACTACAACTCTTGGTGTAATTGTAAATGACTGTACTTGTATTCAAATATATCATTTATAAGATACACTACAACTAATTCCTCGAACTGCAATATATATTTGTAGCCGTAACATAACTAAGCATATCTACCTTATCGTGCAGGTGTGGTAAACAGTAAGTATATCATTTTTTGCCTAATAAATGAGGATACTTGTGAAAACAATTTTGTCTGGTCAGAAATATTTCGTCATTACCTGTTTGTGTTCCTGTAACGATTTACTTGCATGTCTGTGCGTATGATCCCTTGCCTTGCGTTTATATACGTCATGATTCGTGATATACTCTTCAGCCATGATACTGAAAATGTGAAATAGTTATTCAAATATGTCACATAGCTTTTATTGAATATTTGTAATATTTCAAGTCGCTATACTATTGATAATATTTGTAATAATTTACTATAAGTGGGACTGAACATAATCTATTTTATTTAACAAAAGCCAAAAAAAATTGTAATATCTACATAATAGCAAATTTCAAATTAAATATATTTTAAAGATAGTATACTATAATTATATGCTATATATGTATTGTTAATTACCTATCCAAGGGATCATCAGGTTCCGGGGTGATCAGCAATCCAAAGACGCATAACATAATTTTACTGAATGGTGTGCGAGATGTATAGTCTCTATCAAATATACTATGGCATATACGACCAGCAGCATTAATGTTACAATGGTATATCTTGGATATTGAGGAACTAACGTATTGCGTTTATTATTATTGAGATATTTCAATGGTGAACATAGTGTAGTGAATAATTATTTGACAATGCAATAGTCAATACAGATGTTTTTGTAAACTATTTATTTTTTTCAAATAAAAAAACAAAGTTTCGAATATATGATAAAAGGATACTGGAGTAACAAATCGCACTTTTGGAGCAGCCAATGGATAGTTTTCTGGGAATTCAGCATATAGTGAGAATACACCGCCTTCATATGGAGTATCCAATGGTCCAACAAGTAGTATACGCCAAAGAGCGATGCTGGAGAAAAGGAATTATTGACTGTTATAAATAATCGTATCAACATGTGTATGTGTTCCAATGTACAATATCATAATAATCAAAGTATTATATAATATACTAGTAATAATATAACTTACTTATTGTCACATGGAAAAATGTACACAAGTGGATGTGGCTGTTTTTGATAAGCAGATATTTCCCGGAGTATACTTTTTTTTCTGCGTACTGTTTTATCAGTAGAAAGTCCACCTTGTTGCAAGTCACCCCCGACTTTGTTCAGAATCCTAGAATTATCAAGAAAAGTAACTGACCTTAATAACTGGGTCACCACAACAATGTACATTAGTGTTTATTTTTAAATAAGTAACCTCGTATTTTATTATTGGTTTGATAATATTTCCAAAACTTATAGTATATATTGTGTCCTATGTTTTGACACCAAGCATGTTATATTTGGCAGTCATGCAGTACGAGCTGAAATCCAGGTTAAATTCAGTGACTTTTTTGAAACTCAGCAACAAAACTGTTACCACTTGCTTGATAAGTACAGTACAGTACAGACAAAAATCTATAAGCAAACTGAATAAACAACAATTCAGGAAATTAATGCCAAAATTGAAACTACTAAACTTTTTCCTGGTGATTCACTAGAACGATGCTTAAGATGTCAATTTTACCATATGAGAGAGAATTTCAAAAAATATATCCATACTACGAGTGAACCCAGTAAAATCACTGGCCGAAAAAAAAACATGTTACTTTCAGTTACAACACTTGCTTTGTAAAATGCTTTGGTTTGGTAACTTCTCTATATATATTTGGTCACAAAATAAGGCACACAGTGCTTTTTAAAGCATGTGCAAGTTTAATTACAGGTGTGAAACCACACAATCGTCAATGAAAGCAGATATCTAAGATTAATAATAAGTACATCAAGTAAAAAAATACCAGTCACCCATCAAAATAATAATTCAAATTTGATTACGGAACTATTTTCGGAGCGATAACGGAGCCATAATTTCGTAGAATTATAGAACTGTAATAGGTCCAAAAACAAATCAACGTGGACATATAGCAGCAATTATTGAGGACATCACACTGTCCACCCTGTCATTGTTAGAGTATTGAAATGAAAACAGATGATCAACGAAAACGTTGCCTACAATACAGAAGGCGCCAGACATATATATAGGAGTACCTTCAGCAAAAAAAAAGGTAAAAGATATTATATATATTAACTAAACTTCCAAAAACTGACCTCAACAGTGGAATAAACCATATCAATGCACTACTACATCTATATTTAGCAAGTCGGTGACTTGTATTGTGGATTAAATATTCTACTTCCAGCAGAATTAATCAATTGAAGCTTAGAAAGAACTCCCGTGTGCTGAGAGACACATTTAAAATTAATTCAAAATTTAAGATTAGCCTTTCCAAAAAAAGCTTGGCGACTAATATTAGTCTACTATTCGAAATGCACAACATGAAAGTAAGGTGACACACAATATTTACAAATACAATATTCACAAAGTTTATTTATACATATGTGGTTCGCAGACTGATATAGTTTAGAATAGCCTTATCCCAAGTTCAATTTAAATAAAAAAAATTGAGATATCAGAAATTCAACCAAAAACCTATCCTTGTCTGCGCATAGTTTCATCACAAAGTGATTATTAATTTTTAAAGAAAATGGTGGCCTAAATTTAAATTATTATTCAAACTAGAAAATTATTATGGATGTATTTAAACCCAAAACTAATTAGGTCGTCCCATGGTCTTGGAGCAAAACCAAAACGATTAATACTTATCGAGATATTATAAAAAAATATGCAAATTAGGTTATTAATAAAGGCATATTTCAACGTAAAACTAATCAGGTCTGTGCATGGTCCCAGAGCATATATGCAGTAAGTTTCATTGAAATGATACCAGTAGAAAAGCCAAAAATTAACTAAGCATTATACAAATTAGATAATTAAAACTAATTTGGTCTGTGCATTAACTATAGCATCTATGTACCAAGTTTTATTGAAATCGTACCTGTGGTTCTTAGGATATAAGTGGAAAAGACGTCATACATACGCATACACACACATATACAAAAACACCCATTGTGTATTTCTCACGTGGGAGTCAAAAATACCAGCCATCAAAATTAAACATGCACGAAATATACCCAACGGATTACAAGTGCACATAATACGGATACATGAGTTCGTACAAGGTTAGTGTGAGATACCCCCAAATAAACATGGCAATGAACCCAATATGTATATGTTGTTATTTTATTTAATATAATAAAACTTAATATATATAAAGTTTAATTAATTGAATTGAATATAATGATTTTTTATTTCATTTGATGGCTTCAAGTTAATTGTATGTGTGAGAGTTTAACCAGCTCGTAATGAAGTATGACCCCTCAAAGTGAGCACATGTTACTGCTACATATTATCCTAATATGTTATAATCAAATTGTTTCTGTAAAAAAAAAATTAAGTCTACAACAGACAAGTGTCAGTGATGCATTTTAGATAATCTGTATATTCATATTTAACCACAAGCTCATATCTGCTTTAAATATTTTGAACTTTACGGCTGGTTATTCTCTACAAAACCCTTGGACAAAAGAAGGTATATGTACTACAGCAGGGAAATATTGAAATCATGCAAGAACAACGGTTGAATGCAGTACATAATGCATACTAGTATACACAATACAAACACTTTCACTTACATATGAGGTGTTGATACCGGTTTACTAATACCATCTGGTACACAGTAAGCTGGTTGTTTATCATAAGGAGGATGTGCGTATTTCACAAAATTATCTATATCATACTGGAAAAAATCAATAACTTGAATTAATTCGGCATAGAAATGGAGTTATACTATGTTGAGCTTATGGAATTGTGATGTAAATTTATTCATGTGTACAGCGTGAAACGCATCCTATCGGTATTGTACTTCTTATTGGCGATCAGGCATATGAAGGCTCAACGGACTTTTTATTATCATTCTTATATTTAGAAACCCCAAACACTATTGTTGTCTTTCTGATTTCTAGGTTTGCAAGCCTTACACACATTTGTATGGTCATGGAGCCCTTTTGTGTCACGTGAGCTGGTTTTAGAAAGCCGTTGAACGAAATGCTGCTATTTCTATGGCAGCGGCAGATAACATGTACTGGAGCAAGAAAATGGGTTTTTGGTCACGTGATTCGGCTGCCAATCAATGTGACGTGCAGCTGCACACTTTTAAGATTTTTTTATATAACTTTACGATTTATTCATCGATTCATACACTTGCAAGACCTGGTCGGATTTTAAAGAAAATGTCACATGGTTACCAACAAGTTTTCGTCATACCTACAGAACCACAAAGTCTAAACTGTAGCATTCGGGGAAATAAATATTGAATACTCGCACAGGTTGTCTTCTTCTTTATCTAGTTTTTTTAATAAAAGCTAATCAAACGAGTTGCATCATATTGTGTATAACAATGAGCATGTGCATATCGAAAATAATTTATTGAAAGGTGCCACCGCTTGCTCAGGTCATTTGACAAATCTTTGATTTTGTCAAACACATTTTGAGTTGTGTGTTTTTTCCTGAGAGAGTGCTGTAGATTTGTTAAATGCTCAAACATGACATGCGATAATATGTCGCGCTTTGGTATGACATGGTAACGAGAATTAGTCATTGTAAATGTAAAACATGTGAATGCTAGCGTGTGCGACATGACATGGGCTGTGGTTGGAATTATTATGTAATGGTCGTAGTTAAGTTAGACAAACCACAAAACATGGAGTTCCTCTAACAACAAATATTACACTTCATGTCACAATATTATACAATACCTGTGTTCGTACGCTATACGTTTTCTTTACATCTTTTCTAGCTCCAAGAGACAACACAGTTTCCATTTCAAAAAGTTGTAATCCTTCTTTTTCAGATTCGGGGAAAAAACAACATCCACCTGGAAATTGATAAGCCAATAAATGTTAGTAACGTTTGTGTCAGAGCTCAGAAAGATTGATATTTACTGTAAAATTACATAAAAAATTCGAATAGAAAGAAATTGTCTGCAATTAACACTTATGCCATTCACGATAAATACTATTCCTAATTGACACATACAAAATATAAGCTCACCTGTAATGCTAGATAGACACTGCAATCTTCTGTTATTGCTGCCAACCAAGACTGAGTCAAGACATATATCTGATGCCTGTCAACAAGATAGAAGAATCGCCAAATATTCACAAATATGGCATAAGATTATATAAGATTTATTTTATTATTAGGCAGATTATGTTTCTACATTACTTTGAATTGGCTTAATTTAAAAACTCTATATTTTATACTCCCTTGTTTGAGAAGAGCGAGAATTTGAATATATTGAAGGTTGTCTAAACGGTCATTAATAACTTCTTTATTATAATTACATAATGCGGAAAGCCGTTATATCAGTCTTTTGTTTATATATGGCGTGAGTGAAAATGATAGAAAGTGCTAATTGATCATGCATTTAAGTGTACACGTGCATGTGTGCATGCTTCATAAAAAATGTTTTTTACCTGTAATGCGATTGTCGTATCAAGGATATTGTGATGTCGCGATCCGTCGTCCCCATCAGTTAAACACAGAATCCTCCTTTAACATAACATTAATTAAGTTGACAGGTAATACATTGAATGTGAGCATATCATTACTTGATGAACACCGTAACCAACAACAGATTCAATTTATTTACACTTAATCTATGAATTAGTTATTTCTATACTTTAGTTACATTTAAATGTAGATGCATCAACTTCGAGGTGGTCGGCATAAAACGTCCACAAGAAGATACATTTCACTGATTTGTAACTACAATAAAACAATATGTGTTAATGAAATTAATAAAGTAATGAAAGCTAGGTATGTAATAGTTTACAAATACTCACTTTTTGCATGCCAGATACTTTACACCAATTTCTCTCAATTGTGATAACGCATTAAATTTAGCGTCGTACATTGCTGTCCCACCGTCACTGTAAAGCCTTTGTACTTTTGCCTAAGCAAATAAATTGAATATAACATGGTATAATTTTGAATTTGTAATGTTATGTGCCGAGGAATGTACATGCAATATAATGGAAAATATTATCGCATTGAAATCTCACTGAGTAACTAAAAACTGTTGTTTTTTTTCTATCTGAAGACATTGTCTGTTATTTATGACAGTCAGTGTCCCCACTATTTACTATATAAAGCAAGGTTGTGTCTGACTACGACAATGATCACAAAATTGAATAGTCGCTCTTTACCCAATAATAGCAAGATGTAAGGCATTTAGATGGCGGTATTTATATTGTTTATCTGTCAGGGGGAAATCCTCTCTCTGTGTTCCCCACACGTGTCAGGGGGGAATCTCGTCTCTCTATCGCGTCCCCTTGAGGTACGGGATCGGGAAAGTCACTTTAAGCTTCAGTCTAATAAGACACACACAACAAAATACGTTTCAACTTTCGTCTTAATCGATCTATAAGACACAGCGCCCTGGGGAAAAGTCCCCAAGACTATCGCAAGGCTGACCCAAGACTCTCTCTAGGTTGCGTCAAGACTCGCCCCCAAGACTCTCCAGGACTGGACTGCGTCTGTCGTGGTGTTCTCGCCAAGACCAACTAAAAACAACTTTATTCATTTTCAAAACTCTAACCAATTACAAAGCAGTAAAAAGACTCTAGGGCGTAACCTTCAATCATACAGCCAATCAAACTAAGTACTGAATACGTCATATCTTTTGATTAATCGTTCACTACATTAATAATTGCGAAAACTAACTGTCAGAAATAGTAGTCCGAATAACGACGGTTATTTCGTAATTAGTTCCAAATCACTGAGTCGAGTTCCGTCCAGGACCTCGCCTAAACGATGACAGACATAACACAGCAATTCGCTAGTAATCAACTAAATAAGTCGGTCAACAAATACGCAAAAACTATTTCATCATATATCCAACATATTATAATTGAAACACCACAAGTTCAATAAGTTAAACAGGCACGTACCTTAACACTCTCGAAAGCTTCAGTGCATTTATCTTCAACATGTGGTGTGCAGTTAAACGTTGTCAGACCAATAACATGTCTGAAATTATATGCCATACTTCTATCCGCAAAAGCATGAAATAAATTTTTGATCGCATCAAGTTTCGACATCTGACGACTATAATAAATAGAAAAGTAAAATAAAATGTTGACTACTGTAAACATAGCCAGGATTGAGACATCTTTTGAGAAACAAGTTTTGTTCACCAATTATGGTGACTAATATACTTGTCACTTACTTACGTAATTGTTTTGTTAAGAGAACGCATTGACCTGCACCACCTTCTACCGTGGGTGCATCTACAACTTCTAAGACACGTACACAGCTGTACTGACTATTATTTTAATTTTGGAAAATCAGTTTTGCATAGATTAAATAATTTTGAAATTATTAGATAACCTATTGCACCTAGTTGACGCTAGACGGAGGCGTTCTATATATGTATGTATGACCAAAAACGCACGACGTCGCATTCGATTTCCCATACAAACGCGTCACAACGATTGCCTTCATGTTCAATTTAACATGGAGCATGCTTCGTTGTGTTTGATTTGACAGTGAATACAGGTTAACAGCTGGAATTCTGCCAAGGTATAACAGTGGGGCGATAAATTAACTGAATAAATAAACTTTGGCTGGCGAAGATGCCTAACAACTTCAAAATGGTACTTTATAGGTAAAGAATAATAATAATAATAACTTACTTCCAACATGTTGATGACATGGAACCGCTAATGTCAAACAGTACCTAGAATGAATATATTGGGAATATGAACCTAATTTGTGTTTCAGCCAACCCGGAATTGTTACCTAAAAAATGAATTCGTGTCCACTAATTTGACAATGCTTTATTACTCAAAGCAAATTACATAGAATACTTACGACAATAGCTTCAGATGGCTCTCTGCTAAAACATCAACTATCGGATTTTACCAAAGAACAGTTAGTTTGTGTGAAAGTGTAGTCCTTCAGCCTATTGTATAGAGAATAATATTATGAGACACGGTACATTAGGAATTTGCTGAGCCTGTCATTGTAATGTATCTATTTCATTCTCATTACATTCATGCAGCAATGAAGAATAACACTTTGACACGTACATGTGAGTTACATGATCGGGATAACACTTTTCTTCCTTCTTCTCTATTGGATTGTAGATTATGACTTGAGTTGGTCCAGCTGCTTTACATGTTGCGGTATATGGTACTAAAAGACCTGAAAATGAGGAGTCAGATGCAATGGATATAATTGTTATTGTCGTAGGTGACATTGTACATTCGGCATAAGCATGATCATCTGGTCACCGGGGACACATTCATTAAGACATTGTTTAGAGCCGACTTCTTTGGATCTCTGCTGGTGAACATGTACTTTTTCCTGAGGGAAAACTGAGTAGGTCACACTGACCATGAATATCTGTCTTTATATGTATGTCCTGGTGTGTAACATAAATTTGGGTTACATATTCATTTCAACACTGTAAGTTGTGAGGGTCGGTGACTGTAGAATACTGAGATCAGTGTCTGATTGCAGTGACAATGTGTACGGCTATGGTCATTGGTTCAAATCTCGTGTTGGACGAGTTAATTAGAGAAAAAAACGTAACAAAGGTTCTAGAAATAGATTGCTAACATACCATCCTGATTCAGTGTTAGACATGGAGTCAATACATCAGTGTCTTTCAGTCGTAATGGTGGATATATCATCAAAAACTCATATTCTGATATTCTTGTTTCTGGGTCCTCTAACGACTGGGCCGTAATTTCATTACACCTGTGCATATAATAGTTATATTGTTTCACAAAAGAAATAACGTATAGCAAATGCTGGACAATCAAAGTTTGATGTGATATTCGGTTCATAATGTGGTGGCCAAAGTAGTAGAAGTGTTTGACGCGTTTCCACACACATTGCACATGGGGATGCAGTCAACGTTAAATTCTATGACGCCAAATATTGCGACCGATCATGTATCTTTGAACTTTTATGTGTTTCGTGGAATGATTCAATAGTCATTTCTAGCTGAATAATATAAAACCAAATGTATTGCTGTGTATTGTCTTATTTTTATGTTATTTCAAAAAGTGGCAGCAAAAACTTACACTGGTTTGTAATTCCGGACTATCTGCCACACGTAACAACTTTTTGAAGATGGATAACACAGAAGAAGTCGTTCTACTTTAGCATCAGAGGTTAGAACACATGTCTGTGGGTCTAAAATAATGCCTGCAATCTGATCACAATCTGCGAAGATATTTATAACGATAAACAATGAATAACATTTTATTGCAGGGAAATCTGTTTTATACCGTAATACTATTGTTAAAGTATATCATAACAATCAATGAAGGTTTGTTTTAGAATAAAATTAAGTACTGGTTTAAGTGATCCCGTATTGGATTACTGACTCTACATAAGTGTGCGGTATATGTCGCTAGAAGACCACATGTTCGATAATAGTTTGCACCCGGGAAATAAATGACATACATTTACTCCAGATTCAATCGATTTCCAAATATTTTTTATTAGCATACTAATAATTCACATCGAAATAAAAACTCACTGTGCAATTTATCATTTGGTATTTGAAGGTAGAGATTTTAAAAATTTAAATTAGCTGCCATGCCACGTCCGCTCGGGATGTTTTGTTTCGATGACGTCAATGTGAAAACCACCCATAAAAACACAGGGCTAAGTGGCAATCAAATGTGTCAAAATAATTGTGTTTTCATAAGGATTTCAGTCAAGGACGATTAATAGGATATCTGATAGTCAATAAAAAGAATTGCATAGGTCGGATTGACACAATTTGGAGTGTATTGGGGCTAAAGAATATCGTGTTTGAGTATCACGCAAGGCGTTGCCATGGTTATTCTCGCCACTACATGCATTTGTATGTTCCAAAGGAGACATATGTATCCTGGAGCAATACGCAGACTTAATAATTTAACAGTTTGCTACTTATTTTACTGGAGCAAAAATCTGGAACAGTATCCCCCTCCACATATGATCAATACCAAATGTATCGAAATTTAGAAAACTTTTAAAATTACATTTATTGGATGAAAATAATTATTTATCCATTATTTATTTAATTAATTATTTTTTTCATTCATTCCTTCATTCATTTATTCACTTACTACCTAAAATAATACAAGTCCCTCACATACTTAGTTTTGTTTACAAAGGCTGAGCTCAGACTAGACTAGACTACCTATAGCTATTTTCTGAAGCCCCTTTCATCTATTTTCTGTGACATAGAATAGTATCATACCAAATATTGTATTTCTTACTTATTACTTCAGGATGAATAAAG